CTTTACCTTTTAAAGTAAAGTTAAAGTCCCACCCCTACTCCAGAGTACCTCAGTATAATAGGACTTGAAGACCCAACGGTGCCTCCGTTTAATGGGACTTGTGCACCCAAGGAATACCTTCGTATAATAGGACTTGCGTATCCAAGATTACCTCCGTATAATGGGACTTGAAGACCCACGGGTATCTCACTATAATACGACTTGTGAAGCCAAGGGTACCCCACTATAACAGGACTTGAGGACCCAAGGGTACCTCCCTATAATAGCACTTGAGGACTCAAAGGTACCTTCGTATAATAGGACTTGAGAAGATACCTTCGTATAATAGGACTTGAGGATCCAAGGGTACCTCCGCATAATAGGACTTGAGGACCCAAGGGTACCTACCTATGATAAGACTTTAGGACCCAAGGATACCTCCCTCTAATAGGACTTGAGGACTCAAGGGTACCCTCCTACAGTAGGACTTGAGGACCCAAGGGTACCCTCATACAGTAGGACTTGAGGACCCAAGGATACCTCCCTATAATAGGACATGAGTATCCAAGGGTACCTGCGTGTAATGGGACTTGAAGACCCTCGGGTATCTCAGTATAATAGGACTTATGGACCCAAGGGTACTCCACTATAATAGGACTTGAGGACCCAAGGGTACCTTCGTATAATAGGACTCGAGGATCCAAGGGTACCTCCGCATAATAGGACTTGAGAACCCAAGCGTATCTCCCTATAAAAGGACTTCAAGACCCAAGGGTACTCCCCTATAATAGCACTTGAGGACCCAAAGATACTCCCCTATAATAGGACTTGAGGATCCAAGGATACTCTCCTACAGTAGGACTTGAGGAACCAAGGGTACCTCCCTATAATAGGAGTTGAGGACCCAAGGATATTCCCCTATAATAGGACTTGAGGACCCTAGGGTACCCTCCTACAGTAGGACTTGAGGACTCAAGGATACCTCCCTATAATAGGACTTGACGACCCCAGAGTACCTCCGTATAATGGAACTTGAGGACCCAAGAGTATCTCAGTATAATAGGATTTGATGACCCAAGGGTACCTCCGTATAATAGGACTGGAGGACCCAAGAGTACTCCACCATAATAGGACTTGAGGACCCAAGGGTACCTTCATATAATAGGACTTGAGGACCCAAGAGTACTCCACCATAATAGGACTTGAGGACCCAAGGGTACCTTTGTATAATAGAACTTGAGGACCCAAGGGTACTCCACCATAATAGGACTTGAGGACCCAATGGTACCTTCGTATAATAGGACTTGAGGACCCAAGAGTACTCCACTATAATAGGACTTGAGGACCCAAGGGTAGCTCCCTATAATAGAACCTGAGGATCCAAGGATACCCTCCTACAGTAGGACTTGAGGACCCAAGGATACCTCCCTATAATAGGACTTGACGACCCAAGAGTACCTCCGTATAATGGGACTTGAGGACCCAAGAGTATCTCAGTATAATAGGACTTGAGGACCCAAGGGTACCTCCGTATAATAGGACTTGAGGACCCAAGAGTACTCCACTATAATAGGATTTAAGGACCCAAGGGTATCTCCCTGTGGTAGGACTTAGGAACCTAAGGGTGTCAGTTACCGGTAATGGTTGGGTAACGGTAACTTGCTACCTCTAGACTTTAACTTTAAAAAGTTTAAAGTTAAAGTTTAAAGTACGGTCACTTTAACTTTAAAAGTTAAAGTTAAAGTGGTACTTTAACTTTAACTTTTTAAAGTTTAAAGTACCACTTTAAACTTTAACTTTAACTTTTAAAGTAAAGTTAAAGTGCCACCCCTAATTGCAGCATTCCAAAAAATTAAAATAATTGATAGCGAAGGTGGCCGAAGGTCGTCTGAGCGCTCATCTATATACATAAAGAAATGTGTTTGTGTTTATTTTACTTACAACAATGACGCATGCATTTTTTTCTGACGTTCAAAGATAGCGTCTTTGTTCTTTTTCATGACTCAGAAATATGACGTATTAACGGTATCTATATATACTGTTAGCTCGTTTCGTCGAGCGATCGATAGATATATTTTAAAAGAAAAAAACATAATCTTATATATACATAAAATGTCCTTCAAGTCCATAACAACAAAGAAAAAAGAGATAGTGGTACAGCCAGAAAGAGAAGAGAAAGAAAGAAGAGAGATCAAGGGCTGGACGGTGATGAATCACCGTTAACAATCCTCCTCTCTCCTATTAGATGTATGTCCTCATACATCCATGAGTTCATGTATATGTATATTCCCTGCAATCATTCGTTGTTGATTTATAGATAATGTTTGTCGTAAATATTTTCCATCATATGATAATATACGTATACGATGATCACTTATAATAATTTCACCTTGTAAATACATTGTAAATGCTTTCATAGTTTTCATACCGGACGGACCTATATCATTTTAATTTATTAAATCACCCGTGTGACTATCAATAATTAATAATGTATTATTGTCATATATAAGTAATGAATTAATATGTTGTTTAAATAAAACTACTTGCATAAGTTCTTGAAATAATAAACATGTTATTTGATGATTGATTTGTATTTGACTATAAATAACATTTATTGTTGATGAATTTGAATTTGATATTGTAAATTCAGCGATGGTTTTATTTTTCAAATTAAGTAACTAGGATGTTGAAGTTGATGAACGATAAGCTAAACCAGTAACTAGAATACATAATTTGGATCGTCCATATTGTTATGTATTGTATTAAACGAAATTTCATAAATAATCTTGAAGAAGGCATTGACTTCGCATATATATAACTAATGATGTATAACTAAAATGAAAATGCGTAATTTATAATTTAATGTCGTAATAAAATATTTCTTCACTAAGGTCATCGTCTATAAGGTCAATTTTTCTTTCCTTTGTATATATCAGACGGTGCTATTGTTATCCATATATAAAATTTTTCTTTCCTTTTGATGTGGTCAATATATATATCATGTTAATGTTCAGATAATAGTAAAGTCGTCCAACCGGAACACGTGCATTATCGTTCGTACTGTACAGTATGGCGCCAACACTGTAAAAGTGCCTCGATTATAATGCATTGTGATTGGTGGATGAGTCATCGTGTATAATATATGTATGTGATGACTAATATGCATACAAATACATAAAGTAAAATCAATTAAAATTAATTTTTGAGTTAGACAGCCCCTCCTTGTCAGTGAGAAGGTGAAATTCTGTCTCCCCGACATGGACTGCTGAATCCGACTCAATCATTTTTTAATTAATTTAAATAATAATAATATTTATTATATATATATATTTTTTTTTTTTCTTTTTTTTTCTTTTTTTTGAATTTTGCTATTGTTGCATATACTTTACTATTTATATTATCATATACCACATCTTTCCCCTTTTGTTTGAGGATGTGTGTTATTAAATTAAATTCCATCGTTCCACCAAAGGAACGATAACATCCATTGTTACTTGTCTTGTTAATGTTAATTTCTTTACGTGTTGAACAATGAATGTTTTATGTCCTAATTGTTTAATAATTTTAAATGGACCTTCGTATCGTATATCAAATTTGTTTCTAATATTTCTTGTTTTGATTAAAACTAAATCATTAATTTTTAATAATAATTCTTGTCTATTTAAATCATATCGAGCTTTATATTGTTGTTGATTTTTTATAATATTGTTTCGAGCTTCATTTACTAATTTTTCAAGATATATTCTAGTTTTTTGACCATGCTCTGGATCTTGTGTGAGCGAAATAATTTCTTTTTGTTGATCAAATGGAAGTGTGACTTGTCTTCCATGCATCATTTCGAATGGTGTTTGTTTTGTTGTTGCATGTATTGATGTATTATAATTAAATGTAACAAATTGTAATACTTCATCCCAGTCTGTACGTCGTTCATTACATAAAGCGGCAATTTTTCCATCCATAGTTGCATTGAATCGTTCAATTTGTCCATTTGTCTGTGGATGATATACTGTAGAATAGAGATGAGTGACTCCAATATTTTCAAATAATTTGTTCATAACTTGAGAAGTAAAATGAGTACCATTATCGGTTAATATACATGTTGGAGTGCCATATTTTAATATAACATCGTTTATAAGAAATTTCACTGCTGTTGTTGCTGAGCAATCTCGAACAGCTTTTGTGATAACAAATTTTGATAATACATCTGTTAGAGATATAATGTATCTATTTCCTTTTTTTGATGTTGGAGTTATTGGACCATGAAAATCCATACTTAATAATTTCCATATTCCTTCTGGTGGTGGTATTGGTTTTAATTTTCCCGGTAATTTTTGACGACGATAATTATTTTGTGCACATGGTAAACATGAATCTAAATGATTTCTAATATCTGCTATCATTGTTGGCCAATAATAACGTTCTTGAATTTTTCTTATTGTTTTGTCACGTCCAAAATGAGCTCCATTAGCAGGTGTATCATGATAAATTTTTAATATATCAGCACGTATCCGTCCTGCTGGAACATATGGAACTGGCAAAAGTGGTAGTTGTTGTTTCCTAAATAATATTCCATCTTCAACAAAATAATGTTTTTTATTCTTACTATTCTTTTTTATTTCGTGAGTTGTTTTATCTTCTTCTTGGCATTTTCTTAAATCATCCATATCAAATGGGATGATCTTATTTGGATTTTCATCTGATGGTTTGATTATCAGTTCTTCATCAGTCGCTACTTTCCCTTGTGGGATGAGCTCATTAATTTTTTCATTCGTCGGTTTAATAGGTGGTGTTGCCATTGCTTGTTGTTGTAATTTGGCTTGAGCTCTAGTAATCGCTGTTGTTATTTTTAATGGAATCAAATTATCATTTAATGATGAATATGATAAATCTGTTTGTGTTGATGTTGATTCATACTGAATTCGTTCTTCAATATCTTCTTCAGCTATGTCGACTGGTGATCTTGAAAGATAATCTGCCATGTGATTTTTCTTACCTTGAATATGTTTCACCTTAAATCGATATTCAGCTAATTTTAATCGCCATCGTTCACATCTTTTATTTAATTGTTCTTTGTTTGCAAAATGAATTAATGGTTCATGGTCAGTTTCTAATATAAATTCATGTCCACGAAGATATTTATCCCATTTTTCTATTGCTTGTACTATTGCATAACATTCTTGTTCAATTGTTGGCCACTTAGTTTGTGCTTTTGTTAATTTCTTGGACATATATGCTAATGGTCGATCACCATTGGGAGTAATTTGTAATAGAACAGCACCAATTCCATCTACAGAAGCATCAGTTTGTAATTTAAATAATAATGTATCATCAGGTAAATCGAGAATAAGATCGGTTGTTAATATTTTCTTTAGTTGGTGGAATGCTGTTCTAGCTTCAACAGATAATTCAAATTTTAATTTTTTATTATTCTTTTGTTGTTGTACTGTTGCTGGAGAATATTTGTGTAATGGTGCAGCGATGGTGGAAAATTTTGGAATAAATTTTCGGTAATATTCTGCTGCTTTGACGAATCTAAATGCTTCTTCAGGTGATGTCGGTTCACGTGTATCAGTTAAACCACGGATGTTGTCTGGATCAGGTTTAATAGTACCAGCTTTAATTAAATGTCCAAGAAATAATATTTCTGTTCTTGCAATTTCACATTTATCAACATTTAACTTAAAATTTGCTTCATGTAATAATGAACATACTTCTTCAATATGTTTTAAATGTTCATTAAAATTTTGCGAGTAAATAATAATATCATCGATATAAGCGAGTACATGTTTCCACCTATTTGGACCTAATATTTGATTAACAATTCGTTGAAATGTTGGTGGTCCATTAGTAAGACCTTGTGGTAATACTTTAAATTGAAAATGTCCATCTCGAGTTGAAAATGCTGTTTTTGGTCGATCTAATTTGTCTAATGGTACTTGAAAATATCCAGCTTTAAAATCGAATTTTGTAAAATATGCTGCTTTTGTTAATTGGTCATAAATATCATCAATTCTTGGTAATGGAAAAGCATCTTTTGTTGTAATTTGGTTTAAGCGACGATAATCGACGCAAAATCTTGTTGTTCCATCTTTCTTTTTTACTAAAACGACAGGTGAAGACCATGGTGATGTTGAATGTTCAATAACTCCATTTTTTAATAATTTATCTGTTTCTTTTCTTAAGGTTTCTTGATCTTTGTTTGATTTTCTATATGGTGGAGTATGAACAGGACGGTGTGTACCAGTATCAATAGCATTTTTTAAAATTATATCAATTTTTGATGGTTCACTAATGTCAAATAATTTTCCATATTTCCATAAAATTTTTAAAATTTGTTCTCGTTGTTTATCATCGCTAATGTGTTCAGTTAATTTATTTATTTGCTGTCTTATTTCGTCAGGATAACATTGATTTCTAAGATGCTTGAATAATTCATTGCTCGTATCAAAATGTTGATAACATTTACGACATTGACGTTGTTTTCCGTGTGATGCTATAGTTGGTATGTTGTTACAATTTAATTTATTTGATTTGTTCGCTCCTTTCCCTTCAGGAATGAGCTCTTTACACGCTTTTCCTTCCGGAATGCGTTCTATCAAATAATTTGATGGTATGGTAACACCAATTGTAGAAGATAATTGTGTCACTATACCTAATTTGGTTCCTTCGGAAAGTGTTTGTTGTCGATTCGTTGCATTAATTATACTAATTTTTATTCGTCTATTTTCAATGTTCAGTAATGCAGTTGCAGTAAATAATGCTTTATTTTTTAATCGAGGATTTGGTTCAAATAATACATCTATCATATTGTTATGTTGAACTTGTGCTTCTACTATTTTTTCTGAAAAAGGAGGAAGAGTAATATGATTAATAAGAGTAACTGGATAATTTAAAAGAGGTGGTTTTACAAAAGGAGTTGATACTTCTTTACCTCGACTTCGGATCATAATTCGTTGTTCAGGTGTAAGAATATAAACGTTGTTTGATTGAATCCAATCACTACCTAATATTAAATTCGTAACCAGATTGGTTGTAACATCAGCAATAATTGTTGTTGTTATTCCATTAACATTTATTTCTAAAGGTATTTCACCAATAATATTTAATGTTGAGCAATTTGCAGATAAATGATTCATTGTTTTTGGTATTAATTTTTCATGTGGTATATCATTTAATAAGTGTTGATGTATAATAGTGATGGCCGATCCGGTATCGATAAGTGCTGTTTGTGGAGTGTTGTTGCATAAAATTTTGACAAAAATAGGATTAAATGCTGTTGTGGTTGATGACTGTTTTGCTCCACAGGGATCGTCGCCATCATCCGATCCCTTTATTCGAAAAAATGTTGTTGAGGACAATCACGTATTTGATGATTTGATTGTCCACATTTAAAACAGCCGTTGTTCTTCTTATAAAA